TTATCCCCACCAGTCCATCCAGAAACGATGCCCAGAAGAGTCGAGGCGATCAGGGAAGTGGAAGAGCATGTAAAACACACAAGGTGGGGGAAGCCATCTGAAACCTCAAGAGGGGGAGGATGGTGAAGGAGGAGGAGAACCTGAGGAGGAGGAGGAGGAGGAGGAGGAGGAGGAGGAGGAGGAGGGCGAACATGAGGCAGGACGACGAGGCAGTGGACAGGGAGGAGGACGAGGAGGAGGAGGAGGCGGAAGAGGATGAGGAGGAGGATGAGGAGGAGGAGGAGTAGGAGGAGCAGGAGGAGGAGCAGGAGGAGGAGGAGGAGGAGGAGGAGGAGGAGGAGGAGGAGGAGGAGAGGAGGAGGAGGAGGAGGAGCAGGAGGAGGGGGAGGAGGAGGAGGAGGAGGAGGGAGAGGTGGAGGAGGAGGAGGAGGCGGAGGCGGAGGAGGAGGAGGAGGAGGAGGAGGAGGAGGGACATCTTGGCGAGCCCAGGACAGTTTTTGAGAGTCTTGGGTGCCGCGGTCATCCTCTTGAAGCCTCTTGAGATCCTCTTGAAGGCATCTTGGGCGCCCTCTTGGGGCCGCCTGGGTGCCTCTTGGGGCCATCGTGGGGCGCTCTTGGGAGCCTTAGGAGCGCTCTTGGGGCCATCTTGGAGGAGATCGATCAAAGAAGAGGGGTTCCCTAATTCGCCTCCCCCCGTGGGAGCCCCACAACTCGTCTCTTGGGGCGCTCTTGGGGCGCTCTTGGGCACTCATGTGGCCGTCTTGGGGCTCTCTTGGGTCTCTCCTGAGGCCCTCTTGGGCCATCTTGGAGCCATCTTGAGGCCTCGGGTGGCCATCGGAAGCGAAAAGGTGAGACAGCAAAACAATTGGACGGATGTTGCCCTCTTCGGGGCCTCATTGGGGAGCTCCATGGCAATTTGGAACTGTCTTGGATCGGTCTTGGGGCCTATTGGAGCATCTTGGGACCATCTTGAGGCATCTTGAGGTATCTTGAGGCATCTTGGAGCTCATCTTGGGCTCCCCGAGGCGCTCTTGGAGCTATTTTTGGTCATCTTGGACGCTCCAACCCCTCGCGGGACCTCCCGTCCAGGTCCAGGGGAGGGGGTAGGGGGAGGGGTCAAGACACCCTCCAGATGGCAAGCCGTCTAGCTCACTCCCACCCGCCCTCCCAACACATAAGTAACACCCGAGCCTCAGCATGTTCCGCGGTCGTCTTTTAATGGGCAGTTACTGTGAACCTAAACCGAGCCCATGTGCGCGACGCTGGGGCGAGGTGCGCCACGCGTGACAGGCGCGCCACGCGCGCCAGGCACGTCCAGGGCGCCAGATGCTCACTCCAGCCGCGCCAGGTGCGCCATGTCCGGGGCACGTGCAGAGTGTGTCAGGTGCGCCTTCGCACGTGACAGCAAACATCGGGAGACATTGTCAGCCCCACCACCCCTGTCGAAAACCAATGCCCATCATTGTGTCTGGTGGGCCTGCGCACAGCAGGTCATACGCCACACCCCCGCCGTCCCTGACAACAACCACTTGACAATGATCGCGGGTTGGCCGCGCACTATTCACATTTAGCCGCGAGGTGCGTTTTGTATTGTGTGTTTGTCACGGATGGTCGACCTGCGTTCAGTAGGCAATAATTTGCTGACACCCCTGCCGTCCCTGTCGAAAAACTACAAAGTGCCAGCGGGCCTCACGAACACGACTCCATACTTTGCCCCAACGTGTACTGAGTATTGTTTTTGGCAGGGATGGTGAGGGGGGGGGCCGCATCGGGTTGGTTGCGCATGCTCCGAATTTGGAGGCAGTGTCCGCATGGTTCCGGGTTGGCTGCCGGCCGGGTGCGGGAGGGGGTGTTTATTAATAGGGAGCAGTGATAAACCCCTCTCCGAAGGGGAAGAAGGGGGGTGGAAGCACCTGCGCCCAGAGGGCTGGTGGGATTATTTCTCCGCAGCACCCGCCGCACAACAACGACTACGACTATGACAACGACTACGACAAAGTTGGCGATACGACGATGATCATGACTGCGATTATAACTGCGATTCCTATTTCGATTACAATCGCGATTCCAATCACGAGTACAACCACGACTACAATCACGACTACAATCACGACTACAATCACGAGTACAACCACTGATCCCTATTGCAACCCTCATGAGAAGATGCTCACCCATCCTCTCGCGTGTAGGTAGCCCAAAATTGAGTATTCCCTTTGGGAGAGAAGCCCCCAACCTCATCTAGTCCGCCAAGCAATAGAGGAAACTAATCTCCGCCGCGACGATGACGACTACAATTGCGACTACGATTGCGACTACAGCCACGACTACGATTACGACTACACGCACGACCACAATCACGATTCAAATCATGAGTACACACGCGACTACAATCATGGAACCCCTGATTTCTATTGCAATCCTCCTGTTAAGATGCTCATAATTCCTCTCGCGTGTAGGGTAGCTCACAATGGATTATTCCTGGGAGAAAGACCCCACAACATTATCCAGTCCGCCTAACAATGGAGGGACAATAATCTCCACCGACACGACGACGACAACGACGACGACGGCGATAACGATCACGAGGAGCAGCAGGAGGAGGACCAGGAGGAGGAGGAGGAGGACAAACAGACGGATGACAATGATGATGATGCTGATGCTGCTGATGATGATGATGATGATGATGATGATGATGATGATGGCGATGATGCTGTTGTTGATGATGATGCTGATGCTCATAATGTTTATGATGATGATGATGTTGTTGTTGTTGATGTTGTTGCTGTTGTTGTTGAGGTTGTTGATGATGCTGATGCTGATATGATGATGATGTGTTGTTGATGGTGATCATGATGCTGCTGATGACGATGCTGATGATGCTGCTGCTGCTGATGATGATGATGAAGACGATGACGATGACGATGGCGATGACGATGACGATGATGATGGTGACGACGACGACGACGACGACGACGACGACGACGACGACGACGATGATGATGATGATGATGATGATGATGATGATGATGATGATGATGATGATGATGATGATGATGATGATGATGATGATGATGATGATGATGATGATGATGAGGAGGAGGAGGAGGAGGAGGAGGAGGGATGAGGATGAGGATGAGGAGGAGGAGGAGGAGGAGGAGGAGGAGGAGGAGGAGGAGGAGGAGGAGGAGGAGGAGGAGGGTATGAGGGGGAGGAGGAGGAGGAGGAGGAGGAGGAGGAGGAGGAGGAGTGCAGAAGGTGGAGGAGGAGGAGGAGGAGGAGGAGGAGGAGGATGGGCGAGTTTCCCCAGCCGATAGAAAAGGGGGGGATCCAAAACTAAAGACCTCCTAGGGTTGTCGGTATCGATCTCACTATCCATCTCACTATCGTTCTCACTATCCATCTCACTATCGATCTCCCAACGGGACACCGGCGGGACATCGACGGGACACCAGCGGGACACCCTCGAGACACCCCGGGCCGCCATTGGACAACCCGGGCGGGAGGGGGCGGTCTTTGAGCCCAGCGGCGCCCTAGCCAGAGGAGGGTTCATTCTTCTCCTCCGCCCACGCAGTTTCGCCTCACCCGCATGCACGACACGATATCGGCACCGACCTGTGTGGGGGGGGCTCCTCCGCTTCCTTGCGATCTCACCCCCGCGCCTCCGATGCAGTTTTCTTTTTAATTAGCGGGCGAATAACTGTATGCACTTTTCCGCGATTGGGTGCGCTTGTCCGATGGCGGTTGCAAAGTTTGTACGTACCCTGCCTGCCGCCAAAGGGGTAGAAACGTCCCACCCGCCCCGGGACAGGCGTCGCCGATCGCGGAACAGTTTACGCTGCACCGTTCTTCGCCCGCTGATTCTATGCGGGTGCTCAGTGCTTGGGTGCTATTGCAGCGGCGTAGGATTTGTGCAAGCTTCTTGGTCCGCGTCCCCAGGGGTAGCCCGAGTGCCGCCTCCTCGCCGCCGCCGTCATCGCCGTCGCTGCCTTCCTCGCCGTCTCAGTTGTCGCCATCGTCATCCCTATGTCCGAACACGTTGCCGTTTGGAGGAGGAGGAGGAGGAGAAGGAGGAGTAAAAGGGGACTAAGGGAGTGACAGGGGAGAGGAGCAGTGGGGCAGTTGGAATGGAAGGATGGGATGAGAGCCGGGGCGGACCAGGAGGGCAAAAGGGGACGGATGAAGACTCATGGAACAGGAGCTCGCCAGACAGCGAAAGCATATCGTGGGGTTCTCCGCGTATTGTTTTTTGGCGGAGGGAGGGGGAACAGACGTGTCTGTTTCCAGAGGCCAATGCAAATCGTGATGCAACGGGCATGGCACTTGGGCTGCCCAAGGATGTGTCGACCAGAGGTGTTCTGAAGGCCCGTTCCTTCGCCAATCGTATTTTGTTGGTTCAGGTACGTAGACGAATTCGTTTCAGAGCTTCAGGATCACCGCGACGTGGCAGGCATGGCACTTGGGCCTTCCAATCTGGGGCTCTGGGGGTGTGACACGTGCACGTTCGCGCTCCGATTGTGGGGACCTCCGATGGGCCCAAATTGTAGGATCCCCACGCGAATTTGCAGCGCCACTCAAACTCAAGCCAATTCATATCCAGACTCGCCTGTAGTCAGCCACACACATACTCAGGCGCTCGTGCACACCCTCAGGATTACCTGGCCGCTTGCATTCATATTCGCTCATAAGCAGATCCTTTTACACTGCGACCAGAAGAATAAGCTCGTTCGAACTTTGATGCACATGATTGGTCTTCGCGTAGAGTACCTGTTTGATATCATCGAACGGCCTCCGGCCCACGCCACCACCGTGCCAGGCGTGGGTCAGAATCATTCGGGATGTTTCTTTGGGTCTCTTCGGAGCGCTCTCTGGGGCCTCTTTGGGGTAGTTTTCGGGCCTCTTGGGAGCCTCGTGGGGGCCTCTTGGGAGCCTCTGGAGGGCCTCTTGAGGCTTCCCTGGGTCCTCTTGGGGGGCTTTGGGGCCTCTTGGCGGCCTCTTGGGGGCCTCCAGGGGGCCTCCAGGGGGCCTCTCGGGGCCGCTGGCTCGAAGTGTCCGTTCGGTTGCCTTGTCGGGTCCCCCTCTTGGAGCCATCTCGGGGGCCTCTTGGGCACTCTTGGGGGCCTCTTGGGCCGTCTTAGGGTCCTCTTGGGCCGTTTTGGGGCCCTCTTGGAGGCCTCTTGCGCCGTGTTTGGGCGATCTTGGAGGCCTCTTTGGACGCCTTGGAGCGTCGGGAAACTGGTAAGGCGAGAGAGCCGAAATCCTTCAAACACCGAAGCACAGTCTATGGTTTGTACCCCTTGGGGCCATCACGGGGAAGGCTCTTGGGGGCCTCTTGGGACGTCTTGGGCGCTTTTTCGGCTGACTGGAAACCATCTTGGGCGTCTTGGACCGACCGTGCGGCGATTCGGGGCCCTCTTGGACCGTCTTGGGGGCCTCTTGAGGCCCTCTTGGCCCGTCTTGGGGCCCTCTCGGGCCCGATCAAGTCATGCGAGGAGACGCCCTGGTCCCCAGGGGCCACGCGACGCGCTCCAGGGGCCACTCGATGTGCCCTGGCCGATTTGGCAATTTCGGGTCCGGGCCCCGTGAGCATCCGCAGGGTTGACGATTGGGGCTCAGGAGGGTCCAGGAGGGGAGCTGAGGACATTCCAATTCGTTCCTCAAGGGTACGGTGGGAGATTTGTGTAGTGACAATGACTTTTGCCTTACCGTTCTCTGTCCTCCGATGGGCTCTGAAGGCTTCAACATGGCCCCACGGTGGCTCAGGACGGGTTCGGATGTCCCTGTGAGGACCCCGGATCACCCCAAGAGTGCCCCAAAAGGCCAACGTAACCATCAGTACGTGACGCCATTTTGGTCGCAAGGCGGTCCCAGGAGGGCTCCTTGGGCTCCGAGAAGCCCTAACAGAGTCGCAAGAGTGCCTTCGAAGGGCTCCAACAGAGCCTAAACAGGGCCTCTACAGCACAGCAGAGAGCTTCAAAATAGTCACAATATGTCCGCCCCCCCCCAGCCCTCAAATCCGAGGCTTCGACCAGAAAGGATGTTCTTTTGAGCCTCATCCTTCTCGCCGAATTTGGCCAGGGGCGGACACCGCGCTAGATTGCCAGCCAAATCCAGACCACATACAAGCCATGGAAGTGTTGCGACGTGAACTGCCCCCGACAAGGCGGGCGGACCCGTTTTCTCGCCACACGGCGACGACACCGGTGTGGAATGGATCCTTGTCTTGGCCTGGAAGTCAGCCAAGACGACCCAAGGCGACAGCACAATAAGCCAGACCACGCCCCGCAGACCCGTCAATTAGATCCCGGCTTGGAGCCAGACCCCCGCCCCCCCCCTCCGGCCTTCTGTCCAAGCCAGGAATGACACAATAATGATACCTTTTCGGCTCTGGGGACTTCGCTGGGATGGCCTGACCAAGCTCCCGGATACGAGGACGAAGACGAGGACGAGCAAGACGAGGACGATGATGCCAAGTGCCCCCCTCTGTGCGGTTCCCCCCGCGGCCTCTCTTTGTCCTCCCCGCCGCCCCAGGAGAGCCTCCAGAAGTGGATGGACTCTGTGGGCGCCAAGAAGTGCCCCTCCTGCAGCATGGTGCGCGGCTGCCTCCAGTAACGGGGAGCAATTTCGGAGGAGGCGGCGGAGGAGGAGGCGGAGGAGGACGGGGAAGGCTGCTCGGGAGTGCACGCGCGCGGCCGCGCGCGGGATCGGTGTACCCCGCGCCCTGGCCTTGCGCCCCTGCCCCTGCCTCGTCCTGCGGGGCCCCTGTGGACCACGAAGTCCCCTCTCCAGGGCCCTCGGGGGGTGCCTCAGGGGGCCTTTGGGGCCCTCTCGGGGAGACGGGCCTGCCGAGGCTCTTGGACGGTCCCGTCATGAATCTTGACGGCCCAGTCTTCCCGAGGTGTTTGCAGCAGGAGTTCGAGTCAAACTTCTGATTAGGTCCCTCTCCTCATGTTTCTGACGGCCCCGTCACTCCGAATTGAGTCCACCAGACACGAGTCTCATGCCTTCCCGATTCTTGGAGCTCTCCTTGACGATATCGGGATTATCTTGAGGCTTCGGGGGGCTATCGGACGTGTAAGGGCGAGAGCTCGAAACCAATCAACGCAACCTGACGTTTTCATTCCAATCGTGGCCTCTTGAGGGTAAGGCTCCGTGGCCACCTGCAGCCAGCCTAGCGCCATCTTGGGTCTCTATGCCAGAGGCCATCCAACTACGAAGGTCAGTTTGGGCCATCTTGCGCGACACAGTAGAGCTTCAAGACTCTACCCCTTGTTGGGCTCATTCTCATTGAAGGCCCGTGCACGGGCGCTGCTTCCCCATTCAGACGTGAAGCGCGCCGTTGCGTGCGGGGGCTGTCATGAGCGATGCGTGACCGCGACGGCGGCGGCTGATGATGCGCAGACAGCAAAGAGGGACTTGGCGAGCAGAGCACGCGAAAGGACGTGCCCGTGACAGGAATGCATCAGCAGCGCATGAGAGGCATGCCCTCCCAGTGATGGAGTGTGAATAGGTTCTGCGCAGCACGCAAGGCCGTTGGGTGTACTTCCCGCGACTGCCAGGGGTACAGGTGCAAGAGATCAATGCAAGAGGGGGTTCCAGGTATCCGCGTTTGCGTTGGGGCGGGATGGTGGGGGGGGGGGACATTTCGTTCGGTCCGTGCAAAGAGAGAGGAATCCTTGCGTGCAAGACTTGCGGAGGACGCCCAACGGCGATGGCATTTTCAGGGCTCTCGACGCAGACAGGTTGAGTGCCGCGATTCTCATGAGTGAAAGGTCACCCTTAGCGTCTCGGCCGCCACGGGCTCGCTTCAAGCTGCCTTTGAGCCAGACTTGCTCCAGCCGCGTGCTGGAGGTGGCCTTCAGCTGGGTTCGGAGCTGCCGTGAGGTAGTCCCGAGCTGGCGAATGGTCGGGTGTGTGCTCGTCTTGTGTTGGCCTCGAGCTGGTCTTGAGGTGGCCCTGGTATGGCCTTATGCATACCGCGAGTTTGCCCTGAGATGGCCCTAGGCTGGCTTCGGGCTTGCCCGGAACTGGCCTGGAGCTGACTCCACGCTGGTCTCGAGATGACCTTAGAGAAAGGCCGTGCGCTGGCCATGACCAGGCTTTGAGCTGGGCCTGCGATGGGCTGGAGCTGGCCTTGAGCTGACCCTGTGCTCGCGTTGTGCTGTCCTGGAGCTGGCACGGAGCTTGCCGTTTGCTGGCCTTTTGCTGTCGTCGAGTCGTCTTGGCGTCTATCTGGTCTCCGCCACGTCTCTGCTCAAGAATTGTGCTCCCGTCCGAGCGCTGGCAGGATGGTGGGGAAGAGGACCTCCCAGAAGGAGAGAAGGCGAGAAGGATCCAAGGAGAGAAGGAGAGAGCGCTGGAGGATGATGATGGAGAGGGGATCCAAGGAGAGAAGAAGCGGAGGAAGAGGGGTGTCAGGCGGAGGCCGCAGAGCGGGAGCCCCGGCGGGCCACAAGTCGGGAAACCACGCCTCTAATCTCGCGAACCAGGAGGAGGAGGAGGAGGAGGAGGAGGAGGAGGAGGAGGAGGAGGAGGAGGAGGAGGAGGAACATGAAGATGAAGGGAGGACACGGAGGAGGGGGATGAGGAGGAGGAGGAGGAAGGAGGAGGAGGAAGAGGACACGGAGGAGCAGGAGGAGGAGGAGGAGTAAACATAATAGGAGGAGGAGGAGGAGGAGGAGGAGGAGGAGGAGGAGGAGGAGGAGGAGGAGGAGGAGGAGCAGGAGGAGGAGCAGGAGGAGGAGTTGGAGAAGCAGGAGCAGGAGCAGGAGCAGGAGCAGAAGCAGGAGCAGGAGCAGGAGCAGAAGGAGGAGGAGGAGGAGGAGGAGGACGAGGAGGAGCAGGAGGAGGAGGAGGAGGAGGAGGAGGAGGAGGAGCAGGAGGAGGAGTTGGAGGAGGAGGAGGAAGAGGAGGAGGAGGAGGAGGAGGAGGAGGAGGAGGGCGGGGGTTGAAACATTCTGGGCCTAGGCTGTGAGCCAGTTTGATTTGATGGAAGCATTGCATACTTCGTGGTGGTGGACACGTAAGAGACAGAAACATGAGCAGATGCCTGTGCCACCCTTGGTAGTTAAGTGCGCAGAAGCCTTCAACGAGCCCATTGCAGCTTATTGGAGACTTCTGCGGAGCCTATTGGAGCCTCCTTGAGCTTCTAGGGGGCCCGTTGGGAGCCTGTTTGGGGCCTCTTGGGGGCCTCGTCGGGCGGCCTTCGGGAGTTCATTGTGCCATCTTTGAGCCCCTTGGGGGCATCTTGGCACCTCCTGGGGGCCTCTTGAGCCGTTTTGGGGCGGTATTTGGAGCCTCTGGGGCCGCTTTGTCACAGGACTGGCAGTCATGCGAATATCGCACCCAGGCCTTTCTGGGATTTGGACAATTTTGGCCTTCGGGGCCCTTTGGGGTGTCCCCGTGACGCCCTCTTGGCTCGTCCTGGATGCCTCGTGGGCGCCATGTTGGGCCATCTTAGCTGCTGTTTTTGTCGTGGCCGTGTTGGAGGCATCGTATGCCGTCCTGGGGGCCATACTTGAGGCCTCGGCAGCCCCCATAACGCCCTGGAGGTGAGCTCGTCCGGGAGTCGCCCTCGGCTTGCCCCCCCCCCCCCCCCCGCCTCAAGCGCTGAATTTGTAACCTGATGGGGGGGGTCTCTTCTGTATCGTTTAACCAGCCCCGATCCCCATCCCCATCCCCATCTCCATCCAGACCCCCACCATCTCAGCACCCCAATTGGGGATAGAGATTCCATCGAGGAAAAGGTACCTCGACCGCTACCATTCGCCCGTTTCCTTCTTTTTCGGCATCTTTGGAGACGCCATTGGAGTCACCTCGACATCCTGGTCAGAACGCACCCCAGAAGAGGTCTGGGGAATAGCGGTATCAGTACCTTTTGGTTTCTCCAGGGGGGTGATTCTGGGGGGAGCACGACTTGAGACCCCACATGGGGTCGGTGGATTCGTTGGGGTCAGCCAGGTCCTGCATTCCAGCGGTTCTGCAGGCGACCCCGCATCATCGAATACGTCGATGGCAGTTGCGCTTGGGTGCCCAATTGTTTTGCAAGCGAGTTACCGACGGAGTGCATCCTTTCGAACCTGTCGAGACGGAGTTGCCTCCTCTCCCCACCCCCCTCGCCAGTTTTTGTTGTACGAGGCTGCCGCTGCCTTGCACCAATGACTATATGAGTTGTTGCGAGCCTGCCTTCAGAGAGGTCAGGAACCATGAGATTGGTTCGGTGAAAGATCACAGGCTTCAGGACATCCACGATGTCGGGCTGGCCCCAGAAACGAGGGCTGCTGGATAATGTGTATATCCAGTAAAGCATCCCAAGCGAATCCGATCATTGCTCCCCCTCCCCTCCCGCCCTCCTCTGCCGCGTCGGGGTCCCACTCCGGCGGAGGGCCGCGGTGCCCCCCCCCCACCTCCCCTGGGCACCGGCCTCGAAGCGGAGGCGATCACGAAGCAGACCCTGCGGAACCAGGCGACGCAGTGCGCCTGCCTCGCAGCGGGCGCGCGTGGGATGGAGGGATGGAGGGAGGGAGGGAGCGCGGGAATGAGGGAGGAGTAACAGGAGTAGGCGTAGGAGTAGGCGTAGGAGTAGGAGTAGGAGGAGGAGGAGGAGGAGGAGGAGGAGGAGGAGGAGGAGGAGGAGGAGGAGGAGGAGGAGGAGGGGGGGAGGAGGAGGAGGAGGAAGGCGGACGATGAGGAGGAGGAGGAGGACGAGGAGGAGGAGGAGGAGGAGGAGGAGGAGGAGGAGGTGGGTTGACGACCAGTGATAGTAATCCGTCTCTGCCTTGCGCTATCCTCTAAAAGAGTGATGGCATGCGGCCGCGCGGGAGGAGGAGGAGGAGGACGAGGAGGAGGAAGAGGAGGAGGAGGAGGAGGGGAGTTAGAGGGAGGAGGGAGGAGAGAGGATGAGAGAGCGCCCCACTTCGGACACTGTCACCGTTCGGGCCCCTGAGCCACGCGTGCTCAGCGGACCCGCTTCGAGGCGCCGCATGCCAAACAGGGGGGGTGGGATGACCCCCCCTTTGGCGCGGACAAATGGGTCCGCGGCTTGAAAAGGGAGACGGTCGGCGGTGAGCAGACCCCACGGGGCGTGGGTTGGCATGCCCGCCTCGGCGCCCTGCGAAAAGAGGCGCCTCCGTCGACGACCCCCCGCAGCGGCTCAGAAGAGGCAGACACCAGGGCAGGTGCCAATCGTTCTCGCGGTCCGCTCGGGAGGAGGCTAGCATTGATGTCGCCGCCATTTGGGAGTGGAAGAGGGTCAAGAGATAACCCTGGAAGGTGGTCCCTCTGGTCTTATCAGGGCGGGAAGCTCGGTATTTGTCTATCAGCGGTGCTGAGTTCTCTTGTACCTGCTGAAGGGAAGTCACCAGCTAGTTGGCGCGCTGGTTCAGTGCTTGTCGCTGATGGCTGGTCGCAGTGTGGTACTGTGTGAGGGCGTTCATCCAGCCAGTACCGTGCTTAGAATGAAGTTCCGCTGCCATTCGGCTTCCAGCGGTATTCGGGCCCGTTTGGGGGTGGCGCCGAGTTTGTGATTTGGGCGGTTTGCGCCGCTTGGGCATGGGCCATCGTGACGAGGGGCGCCACTTGGCTCATGAAGGCCCCCAGCTCCGTGTTCAGGCTGATCTGCTCGGTTTGGGACGCGTGGATTCCTTGCTCCAGATGGTAGCTTTGCTGCGCCAGAGTGGCTTGGCTGGTGGCCACACGGGTTGCTGTATTGTCGATGCGCTTAACCGTCTCGGCGAGTTGCTGCTGAGAAGCTTCGATCCCCCGGATCCTTGCGTCAGCTGGATCGGAGATGCCTTGCGCGCCTGGTTGAGGGAGCCGATCCTCGTCGAAGATTGTCTCGTTCCCCGTGGCCGCGTGCTGCTTGTTGGCGGACAGGCGAGGGGCGTCGGCGCCCTCGATTCCGTCAGTTCCGCCCTCCATGTCGCAGTCGGTTGCGTCCTTGATGGCAAGGTGGCTGTCGTTGGTGTATGTAGTGGTTTCCTTCTTGATGCTGGTGGTTCGTTTGCAAGGTCCCAGCGCGCTGGTGCTGCGCTGGTTCTTCCTTGGTGGCGGTGTGTTCGGTGGCGGCGGCGCTTGGGGCATGCTTGCGTTTTACGAAACCATGGCAAAAAGGTATGGTGACCGCCTCTCTGTAGGGACGGGGAGGAATTGTCCCTGCCCCTTCTGTGGGCGAGGGTACTCTCACCACAGGTTTCTCTGTCACGATGGTCTCTGGTGTGGCGATCTTTGCAACGAGTTGTTTTGGTTGGTCCGCCTTGGCTGGGGATTTTCGTCTCCAACCTGACAGTGGCCAATGGGAAGGTCGACCCATGGAGGTGGCTCGTAGAGTTCGGTGCGGAATTGGCCGATTCGACTGACGAGGTCACCTCTGGTGGCGTTGTCCCAGCCTGAGTGCTGTATTTCGCATTGCCACTTGGTGGATATGAGCACCATAGTGACTTGTGTCTTGGTAGCACTCTGCGGTTCTGTTCCCGTGATGCGGTACTTGGCATTGGCCAGAGCTGCGTCTGTGCGTTGTATTTCGCGGGCCACGTGTTTCGTCTCCTGGGTGCCCTACTTACCTTGGTGCCAACTCTCTTACCCGCCATTACCGCTTTGAAGGCGTTGTGCTTGGCGGAGGTTTGATGGGCCTGCTGGAGAGTGGTCTGGTGACCGCTTGTGTGCCACGCGATGGTATACTCACTGGGATGGGTCCCTTCGTGTCTGTGATACCTGACGCTGCAGTGGATGCTTTCTTGGCCCGAGTCAGAGAGGAGCAAGGAGACGTCGACTGGCTTGATACCGAAGGTAGCCGTTCGCCTGCGATTCTGGACAGCCGTGCAATGGCTCCCTCGGAGGTCCATGCTTTCTTGTACTTGCACTGTACGGGCGACGGCCGTGAAGGCGTCGGGGAGGTAGTCGTCCGCCTCGATGCGTGCAGCACCTTCTTGGCGGATATGTGGCGCCCCTCTGCCTTTTGCTGCGCCGTGCCTGCTCCGCTTCGATATCGGCTGCCGTTGATTCTTGGGGCATCTGAGAACTGGTCGGTGAACAACTCCGCGAGTTGAGGCGCGACAGCGATGGCACCCGGTTCGCAAATGGCCGCGCGAATCCAGACGACGTTGCCGGCTGGGCCGAGTTTGCTTTGCACGGCGTTCTGAATGCACTTGGTCGCTTCGCGTCCGAGTTCGTAGTTGGTGCCTTGGATGTGGCCTGGCGCGGTTGGTAGCCTTCGCCGTGCGCCGCAATACTGGGATCAGTATTTTTCTGGCGGGGTATTCCGTGCTGATTGTTCCCAGGATTTCGAGGACTAGGAGTAGGGATCTGTCGGGGCAGGCGGTCGCCTTCCTTTAGCGTATGCAGCGAGATGCTGCTGGCGCATGACATTCCCTCGCCGTCCCTTTCGAGCGATGTGGTAACGGGGACTTCCCAGTTCTGCGCATCAAAGCTGATGAGAAGGGACGTGCCGTTGCCCTGGTGGGTTTCGGCTTCGACTGTAGCCCCAGCTGGTTCTCGGTGTCACGGTCTGTGGCCATTCTGCGTCAGGAAGTGATGCAGCATGGTGTAGTTGGCTTTATGTTTCCCGCACAATCTCGGTAGGTCGCTCCTGAGCTCTCGCCGGTCGGAGCGGTGATCGACTTCATTGTGATATTTGTGAGCGAGGTCGTTGTATGCAGCGATTGCTCGGTCGACACCGCCTCCGCTCTGGTGTGCAGCGATGCAAACTTCCTTTCGAGCTGGGTTGCTCTCTGGTGAGGGAGTTTTTTGACGGCCTTTGCCTGGTGGCTTGGGCTGCCTTGGTGCAGGGGGCACGCGGCGAGGGCCTTTCGGAGCCATGGCCCCCGTGGATACTGAGGGGGACGACATGGGACACGTACTAGTACCGTGCTGTGTGGGGCGGCTCGGGTCTTCCGAGGCGGTAGCGGATGCGGGGGGCGACAAGTGGCGGCTCATTTCTGAGCGCAAGTGTTTTCGAGCCAAGATAAGAAGAGAAGATGTGAGAGGCAAGCTGGGCGCTTTCGCGCCATGTCTGATATTCTTTCCTTAAATCCAATCGCTGTCAATTGTGCTGACTGCTGTTGTATCGGCCGACTGGTGTGTCCGCAGAGGCCCTTGGTCCCCCAAATGGCCCTATCTTCGAATTCGCAATTAGGAATGGGGGCTTCGTACACTGGAGGCGGAGGAGGAGGAAGCAGCGGACGAGCATGGTGATGGGCAGGAGCAGGAATGATGTGATGAGGAATGAAGATGTTGATGCTGATGATGTTGATGATGATGGTGATTAAGCGGATGCTGATGATGCAGATGATGATTGTGGTGGTGATGATGCAGATGATGATGATGCTGATGATGATGGTGATGATGATGCTGATGCTGCTGATGCTGATGAGAAAGATGGTGGTGGTGATGATGGTGATGATGATGAGGAGGAGGAGGAAGAGGATTAGGATGATGATGAGGATGACGATGGTGCTGATACTGATGTCCATGCTGCTGATGCTGCTAATGACGATGATGATGACGATGATGCTGCTGATGATGATGATGATGATGCTGATGCTGATGATGATGAAGATGAAGATGCTGATGATGATGATGATGATTATGACGATGATGATGATGATGCTGCTGCTGCTGATGATGCTGATGCTGATGATGATGATGATGATGATGATGATGATGATTGTGGTGGTGATGATGATGATGCTGATGATGATGATGCTGATGATGATGCTGATGATGATGATGATGCTGATGCTGATGATGATGATGATGCTGCTGCTGCTGATGATGATGATGATGATGATGGTGGTGATGATGATGATGATGCTGATGATGATGATGAGGAGGAGGATGATGATGATGATGATGATGATGATGATGATGATGATGATGATGATGATGATGATGATGGCGACGAGGAGCAGGATTTAGAGGATAAGCAGGAAGAGGAGGAGGAGTAGGAGCAGGAGGAGGAGGAGCAAAAGCAGCAGGAGCAGGAGGATTCGTGGATTCAAAAACCATCAGAAAATTTATGATTTTCAGCCTCTGAGGCCCTAGGAGGGGCCTCAGGAGGCGCTCCTGGGGCATTTTGGCGGCGTCGTCGGCCGTCCTGAGGCCATCTTCGGCGTGTCCGGGGCCTCTTGGGGCTGTCTTGGCAATTTTTAGGGCCCTCTTGGCGTGTCGTGGCGTGTTTGGAAGCGGGCCCGGACAGTCCCGGGAGCCCTGGGACCCCCCCAAAACCCCCATGGGGGGGTACGGCACCGGACCGCGCCCCCCCCCCCGGCCTACTCCGATATGTGCATTATTATTGTTATTATTATTGTTATTATCATTCTCATGATGATGCTTATTATTACCATTTCTATTATCACGATTATTATTAGTACTACTATTCATATTCATACTATTAACATGATTAGTCTGACTGTTATTATTCTTAGTATTAGTATTATTCTTGTTATTAGTCTGTTATTCTTGGTATTATTCTTGGTATTATTCTGTTATTATTCTGTCATTATTGGTATTATTCTGGTATTATTCTGGTATTATATGTTCTTGTAATTCTTGGTATTATTCTGTTATTATTCTTAGTATTAGTCTGACTGTTATTAGAAGTTTGTCCCATGGTAGCAGCCGGCATCTATTTCGCCGAGCCAATAAGTTCTTTCTTAGATGAGGCCATTGCTTTGGAAAATGCCACCCTCGAGGCAGTCCGGTGGTTCAAGAGAGTGAATGAGTATCGCGCAAATTAGTTGCATGCCTCTTCTTGTGCACTTGGGTCCCAGGGTAGCTTCGTGGAGCTTTGTCCCTCTCGAAAGAAAAAGAAAGAAAGTATTATTCTTTATATATTCACACACGTATATATTTATATATATACATATAACTTAACACACGCGGGAGAGGCCGCGCCACACAAGGATGATGTCAAGGGCCACGGGGTGCTCGTTCTCATAAATCGCAGCTGGTGAGAAGAGGGAAGAGAAGAGAGGAACGAGGATGAGACTGAGGAGGATGAGGAGGAGGAGGAGGAACAGGAGGGAGAGGAATATGAGCAAGATAAGACAGATGTCACTGTGGGGGGACACGAGAAGGAAGGAGAGGAAGAGGAGAGGAACAGTAGGGAGAAGAAGAAGAGGAGAAGGGGGGAGAGAGGAGGGAGAGGAGGGACAGGAAAAGGGGAAGAGCTGGGAGGAGCTGGGAGGACAGGCGGGGTGGCGGCCTTTCGGGGCCCACGTCGGGCCTTGATGGGCGGTGCTGGTGCCGATCTTTCGGGGTCTCGTCGGCCGCGTCTGGGTGCACCTCGGCCTGAAAAGTCCTCCCCCCCCCCTCCTCCCCCCCCCCCTCCTCCTCCTCCGGCTCCTCCTGCTCCTCCTCCCTCCGCGCCGCTCCCCGAGCGACGCCCCCATCGGCGCTGGGCCCTGCGGCGAGCGCCCCGAGAGGGGTGGGGCCCCTGCAGGCAGGGCTCGGCGGGGGCCCCGCGGAAGCGTGTGTGCCAGCATCGCGCACCCCGTGGCTCTGGTGATCCTGTTGCCCGGTGTTTCGCCGCCCGCCAAACCACCCCAGCCCAACCCGAAGGCCTCAATGTGCCCTCCATTTCCAGGTGTGGGGTGGGGGGGGCTTCGGAGAGCATTGAAAACAACACATGGAACCCGTGCACCCCCTAACCCGAAATTCGGGTCAAATTCGGGTCTTCGGGTTGGGTTGGGGTGGTCTGGTAGGTAGTCAGTTTTGTGCGCCTCCTGGGCGGCCGCCGTTTCGGGTTCTGGGTCTCTCGTGGGCCGTCTTGGCAGCATGTTGTGACGTCTTCGAGGTCACAGGGAACGTTCTTGGGCTCTCTTGGGTACTTCGTGGGGTGTCTTGGACGCCTTCGCAACCACGAGCACACGCACGCAACTGCCAATTCAGTTTTGAGGGCTTTTCTCTTGAGCTTATCCCCAAAGGTTCCTCAGACGGCACAGTCGCCGCCTCAGAGAGACCGACGACGGCTGTTGGGGCCATCTCGGAGCATGCATGAAGCTTCGATTCTTAATGACGATACTTTGGCCTCGGGAAGGGCCCGCGCGACCAGACCTGTTTTCCCGCACGAGCGGACAAGGGCACCCATGAGCCCCCAATACTCGGGGTCAGTCGCATCTACGAGCAACTTTTTTATATTCCAATGGGTGGGCTTGTTGGGCCTGGGGCACTCCACAACGTACCAGAGGCGCGGTGGAGATCGGCGACCTCGTACCGAGGAGGATACAGACGAGGAGGATGAGGATTTGCAAGGTATTCCGAGTGCCACAAGATGAAGTGCCGGAACTGTTCGACCCGCTTCTGCTTCAAGTGCTTGGCCGTGTTGACGGACAGCAGTGCGACGGGGAATCTCGATCGCCAATGTGTTGCAGGCAGACACAGTAATCCACAGACCTCTCCGTTTGCCCAGACGACTGTTGTGTCGCCTTCTTTGTTATACGCGATGCCTGCTGTTCTGTTGTGTATGATTTTCTGTTGTGTTGTGCTGTTTGAGCGTTCCCCTGTGCTCGATACGGTCTTTCGTCGGGGCTGCCTTTGCATCTTGCAGCATTGCTTGCTTGGCCCCGCCCTTGCTTGTTCGGCCCATCCGTGCTTATTCTGCCTGAGGGGGGTTCATCTTCCATCCTCAGTGTTGTCATCGGCTGGATTCGCCACCCCATCGGCGTCTTACACCCAGGATATTCCAGAGCGGGGCAAACAGGAGGCGAAGGCAGAGACCACACGCAGATTCAACACAGGCAATCGAGGCGGCTGTTGTCGCTTGTGTGAGAAGAGAACATGAAAACCAGCAGTTCTTGTATCACGGTGTCGGCCCCTTGAGGACGTCCTTGGGGGGGCTCCGTTGCCACTTGAAGCCATAGTGGCGTTCTCCTGGGACCTCGTCGAGGCATGGATGACATCATCCGGGGCGAACTTGGGCCATCGTGCGAGATCTCTGAGACCACATTGGGATGACTGTGGCCAGCTTGGAGCCATTTAGGTCTATCTTCAATACTCTAAGTGGTCGTGGGAATGCCCGTCCAGGCCCGACCCGGTAGAGGAGGCATGAATTTCACCCCGAAGGAAGATTGCGATGCTTGAGAAGAGTTAAGATCCTAAGCAACCTACGCACAGAGGGGGTGCGATGGGGCCTTGAGTCTCAGAACCATGCATCACCCTTCTGATCTATTTACGAGTCTTGCAACTTGTCTTTCTGACTGGCATGGTTGATCCTGAACGAATCGCGTATACCCACCAGCCCATCCAGGAATTATGCCCAGACGAATTGCATTGATGGCGGAAGGCTCGGAGCAAACCGAAGCCTGGGTTCAGCCTGAGTAGACCCGGGAGTCAACCAGACATCCCCTCCCAGATGCTAGAGCCTTACTTACAGCCCCCAACGGTGCTCCGAGAGCCGCCGCCAACAGCAGAAGCAGAGGCAGCAGCAGGCAGCAGACAGCAGCGGGCAGCAGCAGGTAGTACCGGGCAACATGCAGCAGGCGGCTGCAGCAGCAAGCAGCGTCAATCAGCAGCAAGCGGTATCCGAAAGATTTCTCCTTCATCCTCGCTCTCCTCCTAGCTTTCTTCTTCCATTCTTTCACTTTCCTCCTTCCTCTCTATTCCCCCTCCGATTCTATTTGCATTCCGTAAGAGGCCGCCCTCGGGGAAGTGGACGGGATATGTGTATCTATATGTGTGAATATCTTTACATTTATGTGTATGTATGTGTGTATGTATGTATGTATGTATGTATGTATGTATGAATGTATGTATGTATGTATGTATGTATGTATGTATGTATATGCATATGTATATGTGTATATATACATATGTTTTTGTATATTTATATGTATATGTATATGTACATGTATATGTAAATGTGTATGTGTATGTGTATGTATATGTATATGTATATGTATTTGTATACGTATATGTATATGTATATGTATGTGTATATGTATATATATGTATTTGTATGTGAATATGTATATGTACATGTATATGTATCTGTATATGTTTATGTATACATATATGTATCTGTATATGCATATGTATATGTATATGTATATGTATATGTATATGTACAAGTATATGTATATGTATGTTTATATGTAGATGTATATATCCCTGCGCACGAGGCGGGGGGGCCCGGAGGGGACCTTCGACACTCCATGGCGGGACCGGGTCGCCAGGGACGCCCCCAGACGGCCCAAGACAGCCCCAACACAGCGGAAAAGGGCCGCGAGAGGCCTCGAAGAGGCCTACAGTCGCAGAAATATCGCTCTAACACGCCCAAGATTGCCTCTGGATGGCCCTCAAGGCTTCAACACGGCCCAAGGGGCCTCCAGAGCACTCCCAAAAGGGCCCCAAGAAGCCAAACTCATTGATTTTCTTTTCTGGTTTTGGTGCACTTTAGCGTTTCTGCCTGTTCGGTTTCCCGACGCTGCAAGACGGTCCAGGACACCAAAATGTCGTCCAAGCAGGCTTCCACAGGGGCGCCGAGACGGCCCAGTGCCGCGCCCAGACGGTCCAAGAAAGCCCCAACATTGCAGACAACGGCCGCGAGAGGTTTCCGAGAGGCCTCGAAACGCTGACATATCGCTCGAACACGCCCAAGATAGCCTCCAGATGGCCCACAAGTATTCCAACCCGGCCTACGAGGTCCCCACGAGCACTCCCAAAAGGGCCCCAAGAAGCCAAAATTATTGATTTTCCTTCTTCGGTTTTGGGCACATTTCAGCGTTTCTGCCTGTCCAGCTTCCCGACGCCCCAAGCCCGTCCCGGACACCCAAACATCGCCGCAACAGGCCCCTACGAGGGCGCCGAGACGGCCCAGGGACGGCCCAAGCCAGCCCCAACACAGCCGAGAAGGGCCGCGAGAGGTTTCTAAGAGAGTTGCGGTCACCGAACTATCTCACACGCCCAAGCTGGCCTCCGGATGGCCCACAAGGCTTCCAACACGGCCCAAGGGGTCCCTAGGAGCACACCAAAAGGGCCCCAAGAAGCCAAACTCATTGATTTTCTTGATGATTTTTGGTGCATTTCAGCTTTTCTGCCTGTTCAGCTTTCTGACGCTTCAAGACGGTCGGCCCCAAGAGGGGCCCAAGAGGGGTAAATCGAAAATCCGAGCCTTCCACCCGGAGAGTCTCTCATGAAGCCCAAAGAGGCCCCCAATAGGATCTAAGAGGCCCTGAAGCAGCTCCCTAGAGGTCCGAAGAGGTTCCAAGAGGCCTCCCCAAAGGGCCCCAAGAGGCAAAAATCATTGTTGTTCCGTAGGTTTTCGACGGATCTTCGAGCTTTCAGCCTTTTTGGCATTTTGACGCTCCAAGACGGCCCAAGAGGCCCCAAAGACCGCTCCAAGATAGCCGAACAGGCCTCCAAGATGGCCCCAAGACGGCCCACGAGGGCCCCAAGACGGTACCTGAGGCGCCCAAGACGGCCCGAGAGGGCCCCAAGACGGCAGGGTGCCCTGGAAGCGCCCAGGAGCGCTTTGGGAAGGCCTTGGGTGCTTTGGGGAAGTTCCGGAAACGCCCAGGAGCCCCAAGGTGAACGCAAACCCAACAGCAGAGCCTTCCGCCCTAAGAGGCCCCAAGAGTCCCCAAGTGGTCCGACGAGGCCTCCAAAAGCTTCCCAAGAGGCCCCAAAGGGCCCCCAGGAGACGTACAAGGAGCCCCAAGATAACCGAAGACTGCCTTGGATGCGTCAAAACTGCCTCCAGGAGGCCCCCGGGAGGCTTCCGGATTGCCTCAATGTGGCCCCAGGTGGCCTAAGTCGGGCCTCCACGCAGCCAAGACGGCCAATGACGGTGTCAGATTGCAGAACATCACCTTCCGACTGCCCCGAGAACTCCGACGATGTCCTCAAGGGGCTTCAAAGGGCCCCAAGACGCCCCCCCAAGAAGCACCCAAGAGGTGCCTCCAACAGCCAATTGAGGAAGCACGGAGGCGCAGCGCGCGCGATGGTTCTGGTATACCTATGTATACACACATATATATACACACATACTCATCCAAACATATCGAGAGAGAGAGAGAGAGGATACATACATATATAGAGAGAGAGAGTTAGATAGAAAGAGAGAGAGAGAGGATAACGAGAGAGATAGAGAGGGAGATAGGGAGAGGGCCTTTCATCCCCCCCCGCGCGGAGGATACCTACACATGCGGCTGCAGCATCGACGCGCATGGCTTCATTGACCCCATCACGGGTTCGGCTTGGGGCTGGTTGCTCTTTGACCGCATGCATATGCCGACATTGCCATGCTGGGGGCATCGTAGGTGCGTGCTGCTGTGCATGGCGTGGCGGCGAACAGAGGGGGGCGAAGTGAGAGTGAACCAGCCTTCTCGGAAGGCGGCGGGGCTTCTCAGAAGCCCTCTGGCCTTCTGTGAAACCGTCTGTGGCTTGGGAGGAGGCTTGCCAGGCTTCTCGGAGGGCGCAGGGGCTTCGAGGGGCCCCGCCGCCTTTGAGAAGGCTGGCCCCCTCCCGCTCCACCCGTGGGTTCGCCGACGAATCGGAGGGGCAGCAGAGGCGCGTCTTTCAACTCAAGTCGGGGCCAGCCCTTGCAGCTCACACCGGCAGAACTTGGGTCGGGCGCAACCCAGCTAAAAGTGGCGTTACCTTGGTGTTATAGATATCATACAGGGGGCCACAGGATGGGCACCAAATCGTCACCATATTGAGGGCCGTGGTGACATCGCCAGGCTGGTGCGAAAAGGCCCAGATACAAATTGTGCTAGCTGAAATGAGAAAAGGGAGGAGTGGGATGAGGGAGGAGCAATTGGAGGGGGGAGTGAGAGATGGGGGATGGGGAAAGGACTACGAGGGCAGGGGGCAGGGGTGCACATACCAGGGCAGATGGCGTCGCATGAGTCTCGCAAGCACCGTCGAGATGAAATGCGACTCACCGCGCCGTTGGGTCAAGTTCGGCACTGGATTCGCCGGTGTCGGTGCCTGTGGCGTTCCGCTGGTGCCAGGGGCTTCGGGCCGGCAAACATATTTTTGCCAGCCCCAGCTGGCGGTCACCGCGGATGTTCGCCATCTCTGTAAAAAATGGGGCCGGCAAAAAATCGGCGGCCTTGTTTGGCACCGCGCGGGGGGAGGGGCCGGCAAACATGTTTTTGCCAGCCCCTCCCCGCTGGCACCATGCCTGGACGGAAACGATGGCGGCATCCAGGTATCGTTCCTGTTCGGTTGCCCGGTTCTCCGCCAGATGCCAACCGAGGCATCAGGAGTATCCCAGGGGGTGCAAAAGCATCGGGAACTCAAGGAGTACATGCTTCATTCGATCCACAATGAGAATGGTATTTGCCAGCTCTCACACAATACCCATGCACGTCCCACTTTTTCCCTCCATCATGGCCCGCGCCTTGGCATGAGCATATGAATACCAACGCGCGCCTGGCAACTTCTGCTTGGTGACTGTCCGGAACTTGCCAGGTATGCGGTGCCACCGCGCTATCCCCAAGGTATAGCTTGTCAGCGCCCGACCCACGGCAGAATGTCAGCGCTGGTTCGTTGGGAGGGTGA